GAATTCCGGTGACGCAGGTAGTGTGAGACTATGTGCCCTCACTGTTGCCGTGACAACCTGCCTGGGCTTGTTCTGTGCTAGTGGAATGAGCAGCACTTTGATGTCGGATCATATGAGTGGAGGGAGTCAGTGTTTGTTCTTTGTCACCTGTTACCTCCTCGCTGATCCCACAGTCGTGCCCCCACATTTGGATACGCCGACGTGTCGTCTCGCACGTGCAGAGCAGGTGACGTTTGGTGTTTTACACAGATGAATGACACAAATGCATGTTTTCTTTCTCTTTTAATTCTCTATATCAACCACATCTCTCAGTTAACTCCTCTGAGAGGACAACTTCAGAGGTGGGTGTCCAGGCCTGGTTTGGCCTCCATGTTCGAAGCTTGATTGGATTAGCAATACTGTATGTTCCTTTTTATAATGTTACTGAACACACTCAAATGCACCAAGGGGCCTCTAGGGTGACAAAAATCTGCTATTGTCCAAACCTCTTGCTTAAGGGTTTATATAAGGTATTGTGTGCCTTCAATGAAAACTGTTATCAGTGACTAAGACTCAGGAATGTTTGAAGATTGAGATCCCTCAGGTTAGGGGAAGTTACAGTTGTAAGCAACACCCAGGCAGGCTAACACTTGACACGACAGCATGCATTCTGTACAACAGGCCTGAAATCCAGCTGGGCTTTTGAACGTTTGCTTAGCTTGCAGGCTTTCATAGGAACTTACATTTAAGATACAACAATGTGGAACAGCTGGTTCAAAGTAGACATACAGTCAAAAGTTTGAATACTGTTGACAGAATTTAAATGTCTTATGATTGTTTGCTCTGAAGGCTTTTGTTTAATGATTCAAATTAGTTCTGTAATCAAATGTAAGTTTTGCCTTTACAAATGGATGAGTTGGAACAGATAGTGAAGGAAACGCTGCCAACATGTGTTAAGCATACATGGGAACTCCTTTAAGATGATTCAAAAAGCATCCCAGGTGGCTTCCTCATATAGTTGCCTGATAAGTCTACAAAGCTGTTGTCAAGGCAAAGGGTGGCTATACTTCAAATACATTTTTTGTTATATATTTTTTTTCTTATTCATTTTTTTGGTGAATTCAAATGTCTTGGTTAAAGTTGCCATCTTATAAGGTTTCCATGTTACAAAGACACTTTCTTACAATATATAATACATATAAAAATGTAATAAAAATAGTTTTGATTAAACACCATTTGTTGCAATTTCTATACTTCCATATATGTTGCTGCATAGTTTTCATGAGTTTACTATTACATGAAAATGTGTACAAGAGTTTAGTACACGACTGTATGTATGTGTATGTGGGTGGGGGGAGTCTGGAATGGCTCTAAAGAATTTGTATTAACCCAGATGTGCATGCCCAAATTATTTATTTTGTGTTTATTTAGTGTGTCAGTAGACATGTGTTTTCATGTGTCCTGTTACTTTATACTTCATGTTAATCAGGTACATCCTGCACAGTGTAAACAATTTATTTTCAAGTGCACACATCAGAGTCCTGTGAATCAAACTGGTGGCGTGTTGATCAGCCCTGATTCTTGTGATAACCAGAAACTGTGATACAACAGTCAACTCTACCCTACAATTATATCTGCAGAGATCATTTCCTTTACGAGAGATGCACCAAGTTCTTTCATCCTAATGAAGTTCCTCACTGACCCTGCCCTCTCTGTGTCTATCTTTTTTTTTTCTCTGTCTATCGCTCTCTTTTTCCAGTGTGGTTATATGGGCGGGAGGGATGAGTGCTATGCATACTGCCGGGGCATATGCATTCCTGTAGGGCTCAGCATCCTGTTCCTTTTGTCTCCACCTCCAGCACCAGTCTCAAGCTGTGCGGCACGTACGCTGCCCCTAGCTTCACACCTCCCCCTTTTTTACCCTTCCTCTGGGCATCCAGCATATTCCAGAACTTCCCATTGCTCCAGTCAGGAAATGGTACCAGGGGGCTTGCTACAACCAACCATGAACCAAGTGTTCATGACGATTTACAGGCAGCACTACCATCCTGGATGGTAGGAGTTTTATTGTTTCCTTGTCTTTTGATTTGGCATGCTTAGTGCTTCAGACGGAAGAGAAAAGGCAAAAAATATGGAAGGACAGTAGAGACACAGTAGAAGACTCTCAGAATTAATCTATAATTTCTTGCGTGATCATAAAAGCATTTAGCATTTCTAATCTCTAGATGTAGGCATGTATGATTGCAGTTGTGTTCAAATCCATCAGGCATTAAGCACGGACTGAGATCTCTCCTGCCTCCTCACATTTGCTCCACCTGTATATACTAGCAATGAGCCTCACTCATCCACCTCCTTCCTGTTCTCCATTCTCCCCACAGTCCTTGCCTTTCCTCTCACCCTAATCCTCCAGATGGAGATTTTCTGAGAAAACAGAGAACTACGCAGTGTGTCATGAGAGGTCGAAACAGTATGAAATAATCATGTATGCACTGGCGGTGGCAATCATGTTTTAGGACACCTAGCCTACTGAGTAAGCAATTCATTTACATGTCTTCTAGGGCTGCACGATAAATCGCATGCGATATTTAACACGCATCTTGTCAGTAAAACCGGTTCTGTAATCAGCGGTAAATCTCCATCACGTGCGGACCTTCACATGGAGCAGCATTTACTACACAGAGCCGTTGTTCACTGACAAGCTGCGCAAAACCACAATCATATTTTGTGCATGTTTTGCGCAGCTTGTCAGTGACTTAACAAGATTACTTAACAAGATGCGCGTTAAATATTGCATGCGATTTATCGTGCAGCCCTAATGTCTTCCACAACACCCAAGATTTACTGCTCAGATGGAAGCATGAGTGAGTGAACTATCGGAATAAAGCAGGGAAATAAATGGAAGCAGAGCTCTGGACTTAGAGGAACTTGACAACTTGTTGGCCTGTAGATAGAGTCGCTATATATTCTTCAGTCCAATTCAGTCTCCTATCAAGTTTCTGCCCTGCAAATGAGTCCATTCCTGGATAGCCTTGGCCCTAACCTCCCTGATCCCCTATCCACTGCCTGACCTGCTCTAAAATCCAATTAGAGAAACAGACAATGACAGGTAGACGGCTCAAAAAAAAGTGAAAGAACGGCTTGATTGCTCTGTCAAACTGCCAAGCCCTTATAGACATCCAAAATACTCTTTCCCCACAAGAAGAAAAGAGATAAAACAGAGGAAAAGGGCACTAGATAAAAGAAAATGAGATGGCAAGATGAATTGGAAGTGTGCAAAGAAGAAAATCCAGGAGGAAAATCCTGAGCTTGACCATGCATGGAACACTGGCTGTTAGAGCCCCCTTCTTCAGGGCAGAAAGCAGAGGTCATGTGGAGCAGGGCTGCTTTTAAGGTCACGCTAAGTTCAGGGCACAATCTCCTTCCCATATTTGGTCCGCCTCTGTTGCTCTTAAGGGCTTATAGCAGAAATTTGAAATTATGAAAAAAGTGAGCTGGAATGTTCATTGGTTGCAGCTGGGCATCATTGGAGCAATATGGAACTGGGTTGAGCAGGAAGCATGGGGATTCAAGCATCATGGAGCTCTCTATGAGCTCTTTTTGGCTCTCCCCAAGACTAACCCTCCTCTAAGAAGCAAACAAGAAGTCAAATATTTGAAATCAACATAAGTCAAATATCTGAAATCACGCGCATTCTTTGCCTGTCTCTTCCAAACACACCTTGAACAAATATGTCTCTCTCCAATGCGAGATTTATCAGTTATTTAGCAATCTTGTGACTAGGAATTACTGTAGGGAGTGCAGCTGCTTCATGTCATCCAGTGGATGTCTGGCAAGTAATTCAAAGTTGTGCCCAAGGGCTCACGTCTTTGATTGCGGCTCTCCGTGGCCTTTAGAAACACAAGATGGCACAGGCGTTGGGGGAGAAAGGTCAGGGGGAAGCATGCAGAAAGAGAACTCATAGTGGGTAAAGAGGAAGGTTAAGTTTCTCCTTTTTAGGGTCACATCCCAGCAGGTTGTAATCAGTGACTTCCCTCAAGGGGAGACCCTTCTTGTCTTCTCCCCGCTGACTGTCCTTTGCCTTTCCCTGCCACCTTGGTTGTTCCAGCCCCCGGGATGCAAAGCGATAGGAGCTGTAATAATTCCACAAGGGCAGTCAGGCAGACAAACAGCACATGGCTTTTGCACAGTTTCCAGAGCTGTTTGTGAAGCAATCTAGCAACACTTTATATTTGGGTAAAGTTCTGGATATCTGTCAGGGCCTATACCACATTGTGACTCAGCCTTAGTACTGAAAATTACTTATCACAACATAAGGTCAAAGATGTGTAAAGTTCAGGCTGAGAAACAAAAGGAAAGATTGAGGGTTGGAATAGGGGTTGGGTACTGTGTTATCAGGCATATCGGCAGACACTTCGAGGGACCTGTTGTTTCCTAAACTGGCCGACTCCAGGGTGGGGAGGGTGTTCCCTTGCTGCCTCCTTTCTCTTTCTGGTACTCTGGGATTCATTAAGCATGGAGCTTAGGAACCCAGAGTTCTCTGGAGAGAAAGGGCAAGAGAGGGAATTGTGTGGGTTAAGAGAGCAAGAGAAAGATTATTCATTCTGAGAACATGCTAAAAGGTTAATCACATCTAACTCCAGGGTTGGTTGATAAGAGTGAACCATTCTGTAACAAGTAAATCCCTGCCGTCAAATGTTAGCATTTTAGCAGTGTCTGACTTAAATCCCTTTCACTCTCTGAATGTCATGAGATGCCTTCTTTGTTGTATCATCAACTAGATGTATCTAGATACTCAAAGGATCAGCCTCTGTTCCTGTCATCATGTTTTCATTTTCACGTTGGCACCACCCATGTAACAATGTCGTGTGAATTGTTAGATAACCACAGGGTATGATTAAAAAGGTCAGAGGCAAATGGGGTCAAAGATGAACAGTAACTGTTACGTTGCATTACTACACTTTACCTTAACACAATGCAAGCCCGGCTATATAAACAAACACCAACTTAACATCAGCCACATTCTCTTTAAATTGTTTTTATTTATTTGTTACATTGACTAACATAAATAAACAATTTATGAACAAAAGGCACACAGTTCAATTATAAACGAGGAGAACATATTTACAACTTCGAACAAATAGCAAGTATGGAACACGAATGGCAGCAATGGAAACGGTGAGTTTTTGGGAAAAAAATACTAAGAATGTGAAGCTGCAGCAACAGCCTCGAGTCCGAGTGGCAAGCCATTGACGTGCCTCTTACTAATGTGGGTTCCAATCCATGGTCATGGAAGCCACAGCAGAGACGCTCATCCACACACATGATTCACACACTAAACTGTCCAGCACAGAGGAGGGACGCCACACACACATACACACAATCCCCATTTGTATTCACGAGAAGACGGGCACTGAAAGGTCACACAGAAACCCTCACACATGATTGAGGGTGGGAACCATATCCGAACATATCCCATATGGTCCATGAGTACCTTTCGGATTGCTGGCACACAACTAATCCAGTCTTTTTTCAAACTGGCCAAATGTGCGCACAGGTCTCTTGTGCAGGAATCCAGATGTGCAGTGATCTTCAAATAGCCACTGTATTGCTCACCTCTTCATACTGAATGATGAAGTAAGGATAACTCTGATCATCGCTGAAGATGACAAAGATCTGTGGGTCCATCCAGTTGTCCACGCAGGAGTCAAATAAGTCGCTGCAGGCGTCTCTTGGATTCAGTGGAGGTGGTCGGCGCATGGAAGGGTTGCCCACTGTGAACTTGCCCGTCAAGACTTTGGCCAGAAACATGTAGTGCACACCACGGGGTGAGCGCTTGGAGAAGTTGTGAGAATAGACAGCCTTGCGTGCAAAGTAGCTGCCTTGGCCGAACATGGTGGCATGCTTGCCGCACACACGTGGGTCGAAGTTGTGCTTACAGATGCCCTCCACCACATCCTGGGACGTGCCGTGGAAGAGGTGGCGTTCGTTCAGCATGCAGTCCATTTCTGACATGTGCCGTGACATGTATTCTTTCTTCCTGTAAAGAGAAGGAGAAACATACATTTCAATTAACATCGTAAAAAGCAGAAACAATAGTACTGTCAGTATTTACTAAAGACGCGAAGTGAAGGATTAGCGCTGAAAAGGAATATGCATTTGTAGGAGTTTCTCTTTGAGACGCAAAATTTATGGGAGGAGAGTATTAAAATGAATCACGCAGCGCGATTTACTATTGTTTGCGCTCGTCATATTACTGGTATTTGTGCCATTATTTAACGCCCAAAATAAGCATGTCTTAAAGCAGGCGGCAATTTGCGCTAATCTTGGTAGATTGCACTGGTCATTATGGAAATTATCTGGCTGCGTCTGTGTTCTTTAATGTGCGCATTGTCATTAAATCACATGTAGTTTTCCCCTTCCATCGGTGCTTTTATGAAATTGAGCTCTAACGCTAATTTGCCCTGTTTAGTAAATCTGGCCCTAAGACTGTGTGAGACAACCAGGATTCAAACCAGCTAGCCAGTAACTTTGTTAGGATCTGCAACACAATGCATGGTTTTCATTGTGTTATAAGAACAATAATTTTATGCAAGTAGATGAAAAATTTAAAACATACAAACCATCAACTAAAGAAAACATCTGTCACAACCTTCCAAAGAATATAATATAGCATCCTATGTTTATCTAGTATACCTTAATGTGATTTACAGAGGCTAGGGATGCACTATTACAATTCTAGTTGATACTGATAAGCTGATAGTTATCTTCACGTTCTGGCCAATAATTAATAAATTGCCAATATTAAAATTAGATTATATCTTGTCTAAAGAAATTAAAAATGATACACTAAAAACTATTGAAATTAATAGTTTTACACTGGTCTTTGTCTTTACAACTTCACATCTAATAAATCTTCTCAATTCAGCCACTACTGTCTGGCAGGTGTGGGAAAAAATACTTAATTTTGAACCCTGATGCCAACAATTACTGTATGCAAACTTCTAGGACTAAAATAAAACAAACTTTGTTGTGTCAGAGCATGCCAGCTGTCCTTGCACAAAAACAAGACAACAAGCCAAACTCTGGAGTGCTCAGCCTGTCATCTGGTCAAATGGAAACAGAGAAGTGAGAGGGTACAGAAAGGGTGAGTGAACAGATGAGCGCCAGGGACCTGAGTGAACCCAGTCAGCAACAGGGCTCCATTAGCCTCGAGTCTGTGCCTCTATTGTTGTGGGCATAGGGGACGCAAGGTCAGCCTGGCTGAGAGAAACTCTCTGATCAGTGGAGTACTCAGTCTGACATCGCCTGGCCCTAAATGACTTCAAGTGACCCTACGGCCACTGACAAGGCCCAGTTGTCACAATCATCGACTGACACGCTCACGCGCACATTGCAGAAGAGCAGTGACTCCATATGCGTCAGTAAAGTCATCACTCGTGTTGTTTCAGCTTCTCCTTTCATCTCCTTTAAGCTCTTTTACACCAAGCTACTCTGCCATCAGTCTGTTTTGTTCTTTCTTTTACTGATGCAAACAAATCCTCTTTCATGCTTACCCAGTGACATTCTCTCTCTCGCTCGTTGGCCAACACCCTGGAAACACTCAGAACTATTGTACAAAAGATCTTCACCTGCACAAGCATATGAACACACCAACCTTTATTCCTTCAGCTCTCTTTCCCAGGCTACTACAATAAGTGCTTGCAAGGGGATGAACTAATCGCTGCCAAATGTTGTGAGGTTCACTGCACTGAATCTTTGAATGATATTAAAGAGTTCTGTTTGAGACACGTAGTAGCATGTAAATAAGATATCCACACCTCTATATTCAGTTGGCCTCTCAGGGATATAGAGGATTTCAGATTTCATTCATCTCAATAAGTCAAGCAAAACAAGCAAACTATACATGAATGTTTTACTTATTGATCTATTCTTGTTGATGTTATATATATATTGAGTCTATTCTTTTTCTTTTTTACATTAACTTTAACAATTTTAACAGATTTTACAGAATTTGGTAATATACTGTTTATTATAATTTCTAAAGCCTGTCTAAAGTCTTAAATTGCGCAAATATTAAATTTTATTCTATAGTAGTTAGTATTGTATTGTATTAGTATTGCCACCAATACAAGTAAAATTTCACAGTTCTCTGTAGCAATTTCAGTACCAAAGCAAAAACTACTGGAATTATTTTTCGGGTCGAAAATGCAAAAACTAAAAGGCTGTAACAGGTTTTTTGTTGTTGCTGTTGTTTTAGTAATGACTTTTGACAACACTATTCTATTCACACCTATTTTTTACAGAAAGAACCAGTTCCACAGACAATTTAGTGAAAAATTGTTCATCACTCTAATAGTCGGTAGAATAAAAAGATTCGCTATGAACTAAATACATACTTTCCAGAAAATGGAAAGGGGGTTCATAGTATTTAAGGGTCCTTGGCATTAAAAAGTTTGAAAATGACTATGCTAGCTAGACTACCAAAATTTAATATACCTAAACTGTCACCACATTATACTGTCTACTGTGTGTTCGTAAACAGCAATCACTCCAGCAATGGCATTACTAGACACATGGAAATATGCAAGGATTAGCTAATCGGTCGCATGCTTAAGATAGCAGTGAAGAGACACGCACACACAAACACACCTCATGAGTCAGCAGCAATAACTCTTTCTTATGGACTCATCCCTTTTCTGTATCCTATCGTCCGCGGATGAGGGGCACGAAATGTCTTTTTAAAATACACTAAGGCCCCAACACTAGCACCCTTTCCTCTCTCTCTCACTTCCTCTGTACATGTTCCACATTTCACAAGCTGAGTAGTTCACCTCACGGACCTACCACAAAAAAACATCTATTTCCGACCAACAAAACTTAGTAAGAACCGTTAACACGGTTGACACCTAGCAGCTTGAAAGCAAACATCAAAGCCTCAGAGTCGTGTTCAGGGGTGCGGCTAAATACTCACTTTACAGACGTTTATGAAATACAGATCTGTCCTGATAACCTTTTATTGTCTGTCTTCAACCAGTTTGTAATGTCAATGTTTACTAAACACTGCTCTGGCCCCAGATAAATAGTCTAAACAACTCTGAATAGCACAAAGGATCTAGACATTGTTTGAGAATCTCCTACCACACCTTTTGTACTTCTCCCAGAGGAAGGGGTTTTGGACACGGAAGATCTTCAGGATGTGGAACTTGGTCTCAGAGACGGTTTTGTGGAAGAGGCTGTAGACGGTCCGGTAGCTGCGGTCATCCCGGGAGACGGGCACCTGCTGGAAGTCCTGACTGGTGTTCATGGGTAACCAAGTCTCAGGGTACACTTTGGAAGGACCGCTCGACGTTGGAGAGAGAGGCTGGTTTCCAGAACTTTCCAGGGAGGAGAGAAATGCTGAGGAAAGGCCACCTAGAGTCCTAAAGAAGAGAGGAAAACATGTAATCATGAGATTAAATGATGAAATACGTAGAAATTAATGAATAAAATATCATTTAAATCCTTTTTTTGTCGTGGTACAGAAATTGGTATTAAGAATCATGAAATTTCTTCTGAAATTATGGTACTTATGAGTTTATGAGTCTGGAGGTCATGGTTAAATGGAGGTCAGGGTTCAGTCCTGTGACTAACCATTTCACTTGATTTCTAGAAGGTAAAGGTTATCCCTCAAATCAGTGTAACTACCTTATGAGTCATCTTTTAACTTTTATCTTGCGCTACTTTCCTTTCTTAACTAGACTGCTAGTGCTGGAACTGCAGCAATTTCTTTACCATATATTTTTGAGAGGCAGTGAGGAAAAGCAAATGAAAAGAAACTAGGGCAATCATTTTGAAGAGATAAGCAAACACTTTCTGGAAAGCAACTGTTAAGGGACTGTTTGTTAAGAGTGTGTGTGAATGAAAGGGTGATTTATGCAGCTTGCTGAGCATTAACTCAGCTGGTGCAGGCAGCGGTTCGGCCACATTGTCTGTCGCACTAATGAGTTCCACCCCTGTGCTCAGGACAATGTGTTCCTGACGCTGCAGGACCCTTTAAATGGGTGGACCAGCATTGCAGTGGCCTCTACCCGACAAGAGGAGCTGTTTGATGGCAATAAGTGAACAATCCCTACTTGTCTTGCAACTTGCAAGTATGAAAGCGATAAGATGAATAGCAAGTCTAATTTAAACATTAGTAGTAGAAAAAGTGTTGGTGACTTCAATTTATTTTCCCAAATCAGTTCAAACCTGTTTCAGTAAATCAGTTTAAATTGACTGAAAATTCAACCTTAAAAAGTTTATACATATTGTGATATATTGTCAAAAGGCTAAAATAATATATCGTCCAGTCCTCCTGATTCTGATCCATTAATACTGGGGGGTGACAGCTACAGCTAGACACTATTGAGAAAAAAATAAATACATAAAAAGGGCGGAAAAGATTAAAAACTGATGTTTGCCTTAATTTACATGAAGCTATAAGGGAACATACAGAAAAATATACACATGTCTCTGACCCTTCACAGGCCTGAGTGACTTAGTAGATTTAAGAGATTAAAGAATTTCATATGGTCACATTAGACTCTCTTACACAGGTCTGGAACCCATTTAACCATCCTCCCTTCTCCTCTACCTTTTTACATCTGTTGCATTCAATTTTTTTCTTTGTCCCTGTAAATAAGCACACATCATATTTCAGTTGACAACAGATGTAACAGAGATTTATCTCCTTATGAGAATTATGATAGACAAGCTAGGCTGCAGTCCATGTTCTAGCTTAAGGTGAGTAGGAATATTATATTTCAGGAAAGTGATTTGGAGGCACAAGCAGTACTTCAAGCAATTAAAATAAGATACACGCTTTAAACCCCTCACTGATAGGAATACTGCAAAGTCCGATATGTTCTTGGCGAGCAGTGAACCGCTCGCGAGTTATCTTGGGGTTTCGGAACGCATCCAGAGGAAACAATGCTGTATGTGGCTCTTTTTAAGGTGTTTTGAGGAACAAACCCATTTTTGGTGTAAAATCAGTGGTGTCTAACAAAAGTTTTAGGACACTTTATGAGTGCTGAAGGTAAACAAGGATACTCACTGGAGGTAAGGCGTGAGCATGATGGCAGACCTGAACAGCGGCCGTTTTTTGATCTGCCGGCGGAAACCGAAAACAGCATTTTGCTGGAAGCCCTCGCGAATGTTCAGGATGTACTGATTCTGCAGCGTGATGAAACGGACCTCCTTTAGTCCTCGGCCGCTAGCCTCCTCAATCAACCGAACCACCGGCTGTGAAATGGAGTAAAAGAGAGGAAATGAGTTCAACAGAGAAAGAGAGAACAACAGAACACTTAAAGGTGACATATCATGAAAATCTGAATTTTCCAGGTTTTAAGTGCTATAATCAGGTCCCCGGTGCATCTACCAACCAAGGAAACATGAAAAAGATTAACCCAGTAACTTTGTTTTGGGAAGCCTTTTTCTGCAAGCGTCTGAGAAAACGAGCGCGTCTGATTTTGCTCCCCTTGTGATGTTGCAAAGGGATCTCATTATAATATTACCGCCCCTTAATCTGTAAATTTGCACCCACGGCGCCATCATTTTGATTTCACAAGCGACAACGGTGTACCAGCTCTAATGCCATGGCGAAAGTTTGAGCAAATCATGCTAGCTGTTCTGTCTTTGGCTGCACAGATGAGTCCCAGCCTCAGAGGAGACAAGAGAGCAGTGGATTTATTGATTTATTTACTGTATATTGCTGCTGCCACACAGATCTAAAATAAACATGCGATTTATTTCCCAGCTGTTTACCTTCACAGACATAACTGACTGTTTTTGTAACTCGTGTGTGTTTTTAACGTAAACTTGTGTGTGAATGAGAACTTAGTTTAGTATTCACATGCTGTGTCAGCTGCTTTCTGTACGTGTGCACTCAGAAACCCGTATATATCAGAAGTTTAAACTCATATGGTTTAAAACGCATGATTTCAGCACGATAAACATGATAATCAGAACCAAAACAGATGTTTTTAGCAGGTACAAGCTGTAATGGCACAGCTCTATTCTGGAAAAGGGGGCGTGGAGCAGCAGCTCATTTGCATTTAAAGAAACAGGCCCGAAAAACAGAATGTTTCTGCTTCCACTCAAAACAGGCATTTTCAAAATGTTATAATAAATGATCTGTGGAGTATTTTGAGCTGAAACTTCACAGACACATTCTGGGGACACCAGAGACTTGTATTACATATTGTAAAAAGGGGCATAATATGTCTCCTTTAAATGTGCTCCAACTCCCACTCAATTCATCCGGAGCACTGGTCAGAATGTATCCATCATAGGACTTTCAGAGGAAATAAAAAGCTTTGTTTTCAAAGGAACGCTTATGCAATGTTCTGATTTCAGGCGCTTGTGAGTAGAACAGGACGTCTTCTCCGGTGTGTGCAAGCCAGTTCGACTTGAGACCCAATACACAACGCAATCACGCGCACATTCTTTGAGCCAACCACACACACACCACACACAAACATACACTAACTCTGAAACCTGAAAACCTGCTATTTATGTGCGCTATCTCAAAATCTTTCAAGAACAGATTTAAGTTTTATTTCCATTCTAAAATCCAAAAAGCTTGAGGTCGGCTTGATCTTTTGATGTTTTGAAAAAGTCTCTCATGCTTACCAAGCCGATATTTCTTTGAACAAAAACACAATAAAAAACATTAATATTGTGAAATATTACAATTAAAAAAAAAAAAAAAAACTTTTATATTTTAATCGATTTTATGATGTATTTTATTCCTGTGATGACAAAGCAGAATTTTCATCAGCCATTCCTCCAGTTTTCAGAAATCATTCTAATATGTTGATTTGGTGCTCAAGAAATATTTCTTCTTATCATCAGTATTAAAAACAGTTGGATTGCTTAGGATCCTTTGATAAATAGAAGGTTTAAAAGAACAGCATTTTTTATTTAAAATAGAAATCTAATGTAAAATTATAATTGTCTGAAAGAAATTATAAAAGAAAGGGAAAGAACGGATCAGATTGGTGTGTCTCACCTCTGAATATTCCCTCCAGCCAAAGTTATCTCTACAGTAGTACTTCCACACAGTCAGGCAGTCAGGGGTGGGGCTTGTGTTTGTGGGCGTGGCTGTGGAGCTGGAAGGCGTGGACAGACGCCTGACGAGGTCAAACTCCAGGTCACAAACTCGCATGGCACTGAAGTCCAACGTAAACACTCGACCGCTGTGCGTGAAACAAAAGTAAACAGATGTAAACACAAAATCCCAAACACATGCACATGACAGTCACTTACACAGAATAAAAACAGTTGGTTCAGTTCCCGACAGCTAATAATCTGTCCTTGAGCCAATAAACGTCCTAGGCCTTTGAAGAAAAACAACGTCTTACACCTAATTTAATTTCCACAAAATTCCTTGGGCTTATTAGAAAACTCTCCCTTGGTCTTTGTTGTCCTGAAAAACCCAATGAGGGGCGAGATTGTCCTCCAGACGGAGGGGGATGGAATGGTGACCCCGACTGCCCCCTGCATTCAGACCCCGGCTTTTTAGGTCACCCTCCAGGGGTGTATAATTGCCTCATCGATCACACTTACTCTCCAACACAAAGAGGATTTGGGGTTAAAGGTGAAATGTCTGGGCAAAAGTGGTTCAAATAATGCCCAACCCACATGCAGACCCAAAATTCTACCGGTGGAAGAATAAGAGGCCTATACAGGCCCTTTTTAATGGTCAAATCATATAAAACGTTTACAAACACATACACTTAAAATACTTCTGTTCAAAGATGGTCACACACAAATCACAAACCATCCACTATTAAAGGGGTCATATGACGTTGCTAAAAAGGAACATTATTTTGTGTATTTGGTGTAATGAAATGTGTTTATGCGGTTTAAGGTTCAAACAACATTATTTTCCACATACTGTACATTATAGTTTCTCCTCTATGCCCCGCCTTTCTGAAACACGTCGTTTTTACAAAGCTCATCGTTCTGAAAAGCAAGGTGTACTCTGTTTGGCCAGCTATAGTATCTAGTGCGTTGTGATTGGCCAAATTCCTCAAGCATGTGACGGAAATGTTACGCCCCTTACCATACTGTGATGCCGTGTCCTGGTGCAATGAGACAAAAAATAAAACCCATTATAAACGAGGCATGTTGCATCCAGTGGGGACATAATTACTGATTATAATGACTTATACTGTCTTTTTACGCGTTGCTTTGCATCGCGCCGCGTAAAACATAAAACCATGTCTGCATTTGTGATCAGAACGACAAACAACAAGCGCTACTCTACACTGCTCAAAACTCGCGTTTGAATCATCAGTGGCAAATCCTTTACATGAAAACGTACTTACAGGCTGTGAGTCAGCATTATTTGTCAGCATAATAGACTGTATAGGGTCAGCATGCGCGCGCCGAAGGGGAAACAGGGGAACTGCATTCACTGGCATTGTAGGCTACTCTCCCAGGAAACAGTCCTCGTCCTCCGTAAAATGCGTTGCACACATCTGAATATTTGGGTTGAACTGTTCTAGAACACTGTTGTAAATACAACTTAACCACTGATTTCTAGTTGTGTCCTCTTTTGGAAGGCTAATCAAAGTAGTTTCGCTTTCACAACGAAACACACAGCGTCTCCACGATATGGCAGCGGTGGCAACAATACTACAGCGAGAATCAAAGTTACGCCTTCTTTCTTTGCGTGAACATTTGCGCGGCGTTATGCAAATCTTCCCACATCGTGACTTAGACATGTGGGGGCGTGTTAGAACGAGCCGTTTTAGGTAGGCGTGGTTGACTCTTAACTTTTATAAAGAATATCTCTTTGGGTTTGAGACTTTAGTCTTTGCAACTTTAGGGATCTTATCTATTCACGAGCTTGTAACACTCCAAAGAGAAAGGAAAACTTGAAATCGCATCATATGACCCCTTTAATGCCCATTTGGGTTCCTGAGTGGCCAAATATGAAACTGCACAAAAAAAATTACATGAGAATATGACATCGAGGAGTGCAAGAAGAGATAAAAAGAATCAAGAAACTTAAAAATAATCATCCTCCCACTCAAACACACCTGTAAAGTTCAAAGACCCAGACAACTGCTGAGTGTACTAGACCGAAACTGCCCGACACACTCAAAATCAACACACCAGAATGTTTTGAGAGCTAATCTCAGAAGCACACCAGAAGGACACAGAGCTCTGACAGGATGGGTGGACTGAGGCCTGAAAGAAACACTCACAAGCGAACGTAGCGGACAGACGCGAGGTAGACTAAACACTGTAAGTCCAGAGAACAGCAGAGGGGGCCTAGCAGAGAGAAGATCTCAACAACCTCACAAATACATACACACAAAATACAATTAAACAGCAAGAGGCCACTTGTGAGCATTAACAAGCCTCCAAAACATGGCTATAGTAGACTAAACATGAGAACATTGATCAAAAACAATCTATGTTTCAATTAGGGCTGGACGATATGGCCAAAATTTATATCACGATATATTTCTTAATTTCGGTCGATACGATATTATTATTTTTGTTTTTTTTTTCAGTTTACGAAAATGTTTTTTGAAATATCGAAATATCGGAAATGTGTTTAAAAATCATATCACCATTATTGAAAAAAATTATATCGCGATACATATTGATATTGAATTATTGTCCAGCCCTAGTTTCAATTAATTAAAAAAAGAAAATAAAGCACAATAAAATGCTGTGATGATCTCAATCCTTTTTATAGACTTTATTTTAATGGTATCCAGAATGAGGAGAGTTAAAAAATTGCCCCCCCCAAAAAAAATTGGTTTTCATTATGCCATTACAATGATGAGAATGATTTTTTTAATGGTAATGAGAATGTATGACAATGTGCTTATTCGTCATGAAAATTAATTCTTTTGATTTTTGGAATATGACCAGGATATTTCTCAATGACAACCATCATTTTAAAAGGTTTGAGAAAAAGCATCTGAGAGAATGAAGTGCAGCACATAAGCTGCCAAAACTGTCATCATCATAGTCACAGAAGATGGCAAAGAACAGATAGAATAAGCAAATGAGGGTTATTCGTCTTCCCTCACTCACGCTCACACAATGTCTTCTATCTTTGAAATCATGCCAACAGACACCAAATCTATCTAAAATCTGATCTAAAAAAATGCATGACAAACAAAACCAGGCCCAGACTTCACATGCATGCATGTAAGCGAGAGAGAGAGAGAGAGAGAGAGAGAGAGAGAGAGAGAGGGAGGAGAATGCTTATCATATTGCTGTGTTAACTGACCTACTGAATTGAGTCAGCCCAAAACACACGTATGCATAAACCAGCCATTCACACACAAAATGTGGTCTCCATGAGTTTCTCTCACACACAGTGATGTGTAAGAGGGCTTCCCAGCAGTCCTTTCCAAAATTAAACCCATTGTGTAAACAAGTTAAAGGGTTACTTCATCCAAAAATTAAGATTCTGTCATCAATTACTCAAACTCATGTTGTTCCAAACCCATATGACTTTAATTCCTTCACAGAAAGAGATTCGGAAGAATGAATGACAATGTTTACAGTATGTTTACACGGCGTTAATGTTTACAATGTTTACAGTATGTTTACACGGCGTTTTAAATCATGGCGGGGGGGGGGGGTTTTTTCTCGAAAAAGGCAGTCCGGTACTAAAATCGCACCCAGTTCCGGCGGTGCGAAAACGCCAAAAAGTGGGTAGTTCCACAATTAGTTCTGGTACTATGAAAAGGTTCCCACGGTGCGAAAGGCCCTAATGATGACTGGCTTCAGAATACTTGATATATAGCACACAAGTCACATGAACTATTTTCAAGGCATTTTTATGGTGTTTATTTTTTGGTCCTTATTCACTTAAAATTTTCAATTTAAAATTTCACTGAAGGCAGCAAGTCAGGTTTAACAACTTGAGGGTGAGTAAATGATGACCGAAATTCAGGCTCTGAAATCATCCCAAAACCTTCAGCATCTACCAGAACGGTCCTTACTCTCTTTTTCATAGCGAAAGACACACATTGTGTCCTCTCAACTGGAACACCATGGGCTTCAATCATACACACCCAGAATCACTCTAAAGCAGCATGTTCAGAACAGCCTGTCTTTTACAGACAGTTCCGGGCACAAACACACATTCTGCCCTAGCAAGCGGCTTCTGGCTCAGCCAACAAAAACCAACAGAGAGACCAGCTCCCCACGCTGGAGACCAGAACACAGCCGTTTCAGCACTTCCATCAGGTCATCGGAGCCAAGGCACCAGATAATACCAGTCTAGCAGCCAAACTTGAACATTTAGAGGCGTTTAATGTCCTTCAGAACACTAATAAGGACACTAAATCCAGAATTACTCAAACACCCAGTTGCAGGGGGACAAAATGTAGATTGTTTGTGTAATCTCACGTCTGGAAAACATTCATTATCACAAGGGGGCAAGTAAACACGGGGAGAATAAAATTGACAGCTCTGGAAAAAATGGAGAAATTGAAACAAACAACTTTGTCTCACGTGCCGGTAATTGAAACACACAAAACCAGAACATCTAGACAGGGAATGTGAAAGCATAAGCCTGAAAATGTTCTTACTAAGATTACTCATACTTACTCTTACTCATAAAATGTCTTCAACACAAATAAAACCATTTATGACATATAGGAAGAACATAAGGCTATAAAGTGAACTGCATCCCTGATTAAAACACTGCTTAAACCAACCAGTGGTTTTAGCTGGTTTAAACTGTCATAATTAATATTAACTTTAAAAAATATTTTCAGTGTTTTTTCCAAAACATTTCTATATAGCTGCCATTTATTTTTATTTCAGCTTTTGTAACTGTAGTACTTTAACAAACTTATTTCAGTCATTTTCAATTATGAAAAACATTTTTTAAGTAATAGTTTTAGGTAAAAATAACAAACTGGCTCAGATCATTTGGACCTGCAGGAATATGATGAGAAATGTTTGAGTTCATAAGGAAATGTCTTTAATTTTGAATAGAATATGGTATGTTTGCAATTCTGAAGACAGTCTTGAGATCTTCTGTAAGATTACTGAGGTCTAATAAAAGCAGGCGACACAAGCAAATCTCTGTTTGCTCTCACTGCTGTGTGTAGGAGTCACAACTGAGACATTCAGGATCTCATTTTGCAATTTATGTCACCAACAAGAAGTGCAAAATATCGGAATCAATGATGCAAATCCCTCTCTTGAA